TTTCTATCATAAAACTTAAGACTTCAGAAGGTTGCATACAAGTCTTATGGACCACACTCATCATAGTCAAGTATTTTATAGACATACAAAGGAACGAAATGTTGTGCATCACAGGACCACTGTTGCATATATAAATACACATAACTAGGGCTGCACGAAATGAGGAAAAGCTGTGATGTGCGATAACATTGTTCAATATTGCGATGATGATATGACTTGCGATAAATATTCAAATGTGAATGTTAGCTATACTGTTCCCTTGTGTTTTAATAGGTTCTTTGTGAACATAGAACCTAAACATTGAATAGCTTATTCCCACTGAATAAAGAAATCAAATAGATCATTTTGGACATGCTTTTATTGAACAAATTGCACATAGGCATTATAACTATAAGAAATTAATGTTCAATTTCCCCTGCTCCTTTTAAAATATTTTCTTGTAAACTCAACAAAAACATCTCTCTCTGAATAAAACACGTGGGGAAAACAACTTTTATAATTAAATAAATAGAAATTAAATAAAAATGGCCATTTAAAATAACTGTAATGGCTCTCACTACAACCCATAAGGGCTCATAAAACCAGCAAAAAAAAAAAAAAAAATCTGCCCCTTAGGGCAAGTTACTGCCTTGGTTATCTATTTAGGGCAAGTTCTTGGCCAAGAAAACCAGCATGCTAACTTTGCTAGGTTTCAAACATATACGTAGACATGTTACCACATTCCCTGAAGTGCTGAAGAGCCTCTCTGAGGGTGAACTAGTCGCAGGTATACAAAGATACTTCCGAGCAAGTTTGGTCTGCTTAGGGCGTTTTCACACCTGAAAGTCCGCACCAAGGTCCGAACCAAAGTTCACGTTTTGATACATTTTATACTTTCAGAAAGTTTTGGTTTGGTTCCACACTGCAATTACGCGAGCGCACTAAAGAACTTTACGTGATATACTTGTGTCCTGTCGTCATCATCTATGTGGGCTGCATCTCTGCATTGATTGGTTTGTAAATGGACGTGCGTCTGACGTCAGCGTGTTGTCAATTCGGCGGGTAACTTTGACAACATGAATGTACAGACGCATATCGTTGCAACTATATTGTTATTTTTATGGCATAATTACCAGCAGCACCAATTTTCTCATGGCATCACGCGCCTTTGTATATTGCTGTCGCAGTTTCTTTATCTTCAGGTGGCATTGCTCTCATACCCTCTCTCTCTCATCCTCTCTGAAAATATTTGGATTTCCAGTTGACTTCTTATGTCATCAGACCATACTTCAAGTAAAAACCTCGTCTCCTCCTCTCCCCATGTGCTACCACGGCTCATTTTTCCTGCCACCTGTTTTTTCGGCTATGCGGGAACCACCGGAACTTCCTGTAAAAGGTCTGAAAGTCCGAACCATACAGAAATGCTTTCACACTAGAAATGAACCAAACCTTTGTTCAGTTTGATCCGGACCGAGACTACCTCTTTTCGTCGGACCAAATTTCATCTGTTTGGTCCGGACTGTGGTCCGGGGGAGGTTTCACACCTGTAATTTTGATTCGGACCAAACTGAAAAGTCCGAAAGTCCGGACCAAACAAGGTAGGTGTGAAAGGGCCCTTATGGTAGGTGACCTGGTGGACTTTCCACCAGGCCAAAGGGTCTGCTTCACTGTGAATGGTGGGGGAGAACAAGTAGCTGTTAAGTTCAGCTTCAACAGCTTGCTCCAGATGCATGAAAGATGCTGTTGAAGTGGGGCTTGGATTTGTTTTGAGCAAACTGCCCAATGATTGCTTTGTCTTTTTTTCGCTGGGTGGCTCCATGGTCTGGGCCTCTGTGTTCTCAGAAGGTGTCCCCTCCTTCTGTGCGGAGTCTTTCATTTCTGACATGATTCTGCTCTTGATGTCCTCAACTTTTTCACTGCTGATGTAGGTGACCTTGGACCTGGGGTCCATGAAGGATGCGATGTCCAAAAGTTCTTCTGTTCCTGGGTCATCATACTTTGTATTCATGTAATCCAGGATTTTCACTTTAATGGACTTGGTTAAATCTGTGTCATCTTCCTTTTCTGCAAGAACCGATGTCTTTAAAAGATGAAGGACGGGTTTCACATATGAAACACTGACATAGATTTCCCCGGAAAAGACAGCAGTAAATTCCTGCAAAGGGTGTAATGCCAGGTTTACAGACTCAAGTACATCCAGGTCCTGCCTGGAGGGAACCAGATGCCGTGTTTTCCGGTCTGCCGATAGGACATCAGAAATGGCCCGCTGCTGCTCCAAGACCCTCTCCATCATCTTTTGCCTTGAGCCCCACCTAGTTGGACATTCTGTGATGAGTGAGTGCTCAGGGAGGTTGTGCTCCTGTTGTGCTTTTTTCAGTGCCGTCTTCTGCTTCCAGCTGTGAGAAAAAATGTCCCACCACTTTTTTGCAAAGCCCAGCGGTCAATGCGGCTGTCATCCTTAACAGCATTTTCTGGAAAGAAGATATGAAATAAATAGTTACAAATTATTCAAACTACCAGTAATCATTGTAGCCAATTATTTAATTATTATTTAATTGTTTATAATTAATATTAATTTAATTTAATAATTTAATAATAATATAATTATTTAATTATTGTAATAAAGTAATATATCAGAGGCTGCATAATTATTATTAACTACAATTCTTACACAGTGATAATTCAGGTACTCCATATTATAGGCACTGTGACCATGCTGAGCGTACTGTAGCTGACACTTCCTGGGGCTTCGTCTGATTGGCCAAATAGCATGAATGCACCAACCATGTCTTCAGGGCTACACGTGATAGGTCAAACGTGTGAATGCTTGGCGCATGTAATAAACTTTTTTCCCTTATTCATCGTGTCAGGCAGTCTTTTGCGATGTGTTCATTGCGCATGTTCATATCGCGATGACGATGAAAATTAGATGTATCGTTCAGCCCTACACTTATAAAAAAGAGGTAATCTAACTGAAAATACAAACATATATTTTGATTCACAGAATGTAACAACACGAAGTGCACACTGTATAAAAGAAACATTTAGTGCAAACTGAAGCAAAAGGATTAAGGGTATAGGGAGATTAGCATACATACTTAGTATACATAATGTGACAGAGACAGATTCACATTATAAAAAAAAATACACTTAGAAGTGACGTAAGTGCTTTAGACAATGTGATGTGTATGTAGATGTGTTTTCCAGGTGAGCCTGGATGGCAGTAAGGATTTGAAAGTGTCCAGTGCATAATATACTGAGGGAGGAAAAAGACAGAGAAAGTATTGGGACACCAATGATCTTTGCAGCAGTATTCACTGTCCAGTGTAGGGTATTGTGTCGCTGCAGTCTCCATACCGGACAGTGATGCAGTTGGTCAACAGAATCTCAGTGGTGCCCCTGCAGAGTGTGTTGAGGATGGGTGGAGGGAGACTTGCTCTTTTCAGCCTGCAGAGTAAGCGAGGCACTGCTTGGCCTTCTTGGAGAATGTTGTAGTGTAGAGGTTGTCAACAGAGATGGTCAAGGTGTGCACCTCCAGGGATTTAGTGATTCTGACTTACTCCATGGTAAGCAACATGGAGCAGATAGAGTTTGTTATGGAGACTGCACTTGATGTGATGCATGACTAACCTCTCAAAGTACTTCATGATCAGGTTCAGTGCTATGGGAAGGCATGGATGACTTCTTTAGTACCGGTGGTGGTGATGAGACGTGGGGGTGGCTGCCTGTCTCAGTGAGGTGTTAAAGATGTCTATTAGGACATCTGTCAGCTGTTCTGCACAGTCTCTTAGTTCATGGCCAGGTATGTTGTCAGGACCCCCAGCTTTGCATGGGTTAGTACTAGATTGGGTCTTCCTTGCGTCGATTGAAGACAGACAGATCACCTGGTCATTGGGAGGTGTGGCTCTTTTTCGTGCAAGTCTGTCATTCTGCATTTCAACCCGTGCATAGAAGTGGTTGAGTGCATCTGGGAGGGATGTGTCATCATCACAGACCTGTGGCAGGGGCTTGTAGTCTGTAATGGTCTGAATGGCTTACCACAGGCTCTGTGTGTGCTGTCGGTGAAGTGATTGTTGATTTATTTTTATTTTTTGTGTGTGTGCATACAACTGTTTTGCCGCCTTGATGCTATGTGACAGATTGGCTCTTGTTTCTTTGATGACTGCTTTATCTCCTGATCTGAATGCAACATCTCAGGTCTTCAATAGTCCAGGGACCTCTGCTGTAAGCCATGGCTTCTGGTTGGCACATGTGGTGATGGTTTTGGTGACTGTCACATTATCAGTGCTCTTCTTAATGTAGGCAGTGACTGTTTTAGTGTATTTTTGCAGGTTTGTCTGATTGTTGTTTGTAGCTGCCTCTTTGAACGTTCCAGTCTGTGTCCTGAAAGCAGTCCTGGAGCATTGTGGTAGCATCCTCTGGCCATACTATGATGTTTTTATTTTGTTGTTTTTGTAAAATGGGTTTGGCAATTTCAGAAGTGGTCTGCATGCTGGAATTAGCTTAACATAGATGTGATTTGAGTATTCAAGGTGGGGGCAAGCGACAGCCCTATATGCATTTTTCCCAGCTGTGTAAACCAGGTCTAATGTAAACCAGGTACCTTGTTTCAAAGTTAACATGTTGGTGATAGAGCTGACCTGATCAGTAATAGAGTATCCCTAGAACATGTTGTGTGATTGTGACTCGACAGAATCGAATAAAGTCCACTTTTCATATAATACTTTTATGGTTATTTTGTGCCCAGTTACTGGAGTGACCAGTATCATATTAGAAAATGTGACATTTTTTATAGTAAACTTAATATAAAAAGCTATATTTTGGATTAAAAAAATATATATATTTGTAAAAAAAAGTATGTATATGCTTGTGTATGTATACTTGACATTTTAAGTAACATAATGGGAACATAAAACAATTCTTAGAACTTGGCACATGTTTCAAAAAAGATTGTTGTTTTTATGATCTTTGACAATCTTATTTTTATTGACCCGATGTCTTTCTCTCTCCTCATGTCATAGGTTTGGGAAATTTCCTCTGGGGAGATGCTCCTGTCCGTTCTCTTCGACGTTGGCATCATGTCAGTGACCTTTGACCCCTGCGAGTATTTCCTATTCTGTGGAGGCAGTGACGGCAATATTTTTCAGGTGTCTCTATGCAGCACGGTAAGCACTTTAAACGCCAGCATTTCCTGATCGCTGGCATTTATTCTGAAAGCATATCCAATGAGACCTTTGTAATAGAGTTTTTGACACCGTTGTGAAGTTGTTTATGAGACATTTAATTGGCCCATGGCACATTGACGAGCAGCCTGTTGGGGTTTCATTAGCAATAATGCACCCTGTCTTATCTTCACTGCATTAGATGGAGAAGATTAGTTATTTTTACTGGACTCCTGCTTGGCAGCGATTAGATATAAATAGCGTCAAATCATTTTCCGTCAAATCTTCGTTTCTTTTATTTCGCATAGTATTCAGAGTAAACTTAGTCAATTTCTGGTGTTAAACATTTATATGCTGAGATTTGCGATCCTCTGTTCTGATCCTTCAAATGTCTCCTCAGCACTGCTGAGAACTAAAGTGAGTGATTTTAAGTGTTTTTTTTTTTTGTTGAGTTGTCCATTTCAGTCCAGGTCAGGGCATCTTAGAGAAAGCGCTCTGTGCTGGAAGGCAAAAATGGATGTGAAACGAATATGTTTTCTCACATTCTCACCTCACTTCACCTTTACACCAGAGGACTCTTCTCAAAAGGAATTTAAGATGAAACGTATGCAGGTGTCATGGCCATTGTCAGTTTCACTTAAAGCCCATTGTTGGATCATTGGGAGTAGGTTATTCCCCAGCAGGTGCTTTTGGCTTTGAGAAGGTATTGAGGACCTGTATGAGCTCAACCAACAGAAACATCTGCTTATGGAGAACATTGGTATTGGGAATTTTGTGGTTTGTGGAAATTATTACAACCCTCATGTTGTTCTAAACCTGTATGACTTTCTTCTGTGGAACATAAAAGGAGTTTAGCGGAATGTTCATGCTGCTGTTTTTCTATGTAATGTAAGTGACCAGTGGCTGTCAAGCTTCAAACGTGACAATAGACACCATAAAAGTTGTCCATATGACGTGTTCACTATATTCTATGAAGTCATATGATAGTTTTGTGTAAAGAAACATACAGAAATGTATGTCTTTATTTACTAATAAAGACTCCTTTGCTGCAGCTCCCGAATTCCATTTATATTTGCATATATATATGGCTTTTCATGAGTTGTTTGTGATTTGTGTGGGGATGTATTACAATATGATATTAAAATGTCAGTACTGGCCAATGCCAGTAAGCCGCTAGTTATTTTCTTTGTTGACATTTAAATTACTTTGTTTAAAAATTTTAATAAATCATTTTAAATGCTGAATTAGGGCATCACATTATAATGTACTGTATGCAAAATAGTTTCTTTTTTCTTTTCTTTTTTTCTGTAAATTACATTTAACAGAAATGAGCTTGCATATTTAAAAATCCCATATTATCCGATACTGACAAATTAAAAAAAAAACTCTAATAATGGCCGATAACCAATATGGTACCAATAAAATATCGTACATCCTTTGATTTTTGCCTTGTGAACTTAACTGGATGAAATACTCCCTTAGATGATGTGTAGATGGAAGAAAGAAACATTTGGAGGAACCAACACTTGGCAGCATGATCCCATCCTTTCCTAGTCAGCACTTAGGCTAATAAAAAGATTTATCTTACAGTGCTCTCCGTATGATAAAGTATTCCTAAACTCATATTGAAAATCCTAACAGGAGATGCTTGGCAGAATTTTTTATGAATAAACAATTTTCCTCTTGAGGCAGTATTTATGTTTTAAGTGTTTTTGCTCTATATACATGTCTTAAGCCAATGTATTTGTGAGAGAAAGCATGTATTTCTAAACTGTGAGGTGAAACTGTGTGCGATTCATTCCCAATCTGCCCTGATACATTCATCATCATTGTTAAACTTTAATCATGGCATTAATTAGCTGGTAATGACGTGCTTTTTCAGCCTCTCAGTTTTTCATTTTGTTCCCCGCGTCTGGAATCTCAGCCAGCCTTAGTAGTCTACAGGGTTTCCTGATTTTTTTTTTTTTTTTCATGTCTCTAAAACCTTTCAAGATGTTCAAAGGCTATTTATTGGTAGACTTGAAAATCTTTGACTTCTAAAGCTGGTTTTTGCACTTTTAATAATTTCGTGTGCTGTCTTAAAGTTGGTTTCAAAGTGAGATTAATTGGTGGGATATGAGAAGTCGGTATGGCTATTGTCAATTTTTCATATCAAGTCATATTACAACTTACATCGCGAATGCATTCGTGAACTTGACCGTTCTTGTCTTGACTCGCTCTTTCCCATAACAACAAAGCTGAAACATGGGCAACTTAAGCACAACGAATTTACAACATTCTATTACTTACAATACTGGGTAACACTTTATTTCACGGTGTCATTGTTACATATGTTACATGTAGTTACTATAGTAATAACATTAACACTTTAGTTTAGGATCCAATTCTCACTGTGAACTAGTTGCTTATTAGCATGCATATTACTAGGCTGTTTATTAATACTTATAAAGCATATAGTAATGCCTTATTCTGCATGACCATATTCTACATCCCTTAATCCTACCCAATACCTAAATTTCACTTCTACCATACTATTAATAAGCAGTAATTAGGAATTTATTGAGGCAAAAGTTGTTGTAAATAGTTAGTTAATTGTGAGAATTGGACCCTAAACTAAAGTGTGACCAAAATAATTATAAATTTTGCATAAATATATGCAACTGACCCTAAACCAAACCAAGTTTCACTGTATTTCACAATAAACTCATGCATGTCCCTAATAAGCAGTCTTAGGAGTCTTTGAATCTGGCATCCTGACTTCATTCCAAAACATCGGCCTCAATCTTCTCGCTCTGATTGGGTTAGACGTTTTCCTTTGAACAAAATACAATCACTTGCCAGTAAAATTTGTGGAAAGCAAAAAATTCCTCTTGTCAGGGCTTGAGGATGTGTCTTATGGTGTAATGGTGTATTGGATTTCATGTAAAAAAAATCATTATTTATTATTCAGTTGTAACCTTATACAGTTCTGTTAACCTTCTCTTCTCAGTCCAGCAGTTTCATTGACCTCTTCACCCCGCTAAAAAAAGGTTAAAAAAGTGCTTCCTCAGCTTAGTTTCCTCACGCTTGTTTTTTAGATGGTCTTTTAGTGATGAACAAGGCTTGAATTTGTCATATTTTGATAGAAAAAGGCTTTCTGACAGGAAAGCTTAGAGTTCCCTGCGAAAGACATAGAGGGAAAATAAAGAGACGCTAAGAGAAAAATAGTGTGTTACTGCTGAAGGTTTTTAAAATCTAATCCTGTCAAGCTTTCTGCCTCAGAAAGACATTTGTTTAACTTAAACTCATGCTCTGAACATCCCAGCTGCTCTCTTAACTTGCTTTTAGAGTTTATTTTCCCCATCAAGATTAGATTAAAGGAACAGTTCAATATGAGAATCCTGTTATTTACTCACCCTCGTTGTTGCAAACTCAAGTGGCTTTCTTTCTTCTGTGGAACACCAAAAAAAAAAACACCACAGCGGTGTCATATGTACACTGATAAAAATGATTTTGTGGTGAAGTAAATACTACAGAAAAAAAACAATGTAATTTACATAAAGTTAGTTCAGACAAGAATTTAAAAAACTAAGTAAATTCTATATTAGTACTCAATTCAAGCGTGTAGAAATGAAAGGGTAAATATCAACGTTGTAAAATTACTCAACTTTTCTTATACTGGTGTTCCCATCATGCACTGGGCCTTGAATAATTAATGAGGTTGATTTTTCACTGTTTTCCAGCTGTATTTACACTGTTTCATCATTGCTTTTGTTGTTAGGATTAGTAACTTGCCATTTTGTGACATTTGGAGTTCATTTTCCACTCAAAATGACACATTCGAACACAAACGATCCATCAAATGTTACCATCATTGTGTATTGTCTACCAAGCATTGAGTTCTCTGCGCTCACATAATGAGTGACTACTTCAATGTATAATATCTATTGTATTAATAACTTAGATGTATCTAAGTAAAGTTAAGTACACTTTAAAAGTGGGGTTTGATTCAATGTTATATTTATGAGGGAAATGTATTGCAAAGGAAACTTCAACTAAATAGTAAATAGATATTACTCAACTTAACTTAGTTAAGTAGTTTACTTAATTTCATATGTGAAATTTACTTAAAAAATATTTGTGCAAAATCTTGCCAAAGAAAAATTAAGTAAATTTTACTCATTGGTTTTTTCAGTGTATAAAAGGAACAGGGTATTATATTTTAGTTAATAAAACATGACCATGAATTAATTAGACGTGGGAACATTTTATTATTTCATGGCCATGATTTTCTGTGCGGGGATCCGTACATATAAGTGTCGGTATTTTGTTGTAACACGTTACATGTAGTTACTATAATAATAATTATCCACCTTTTTCTTATGTCCCATGATGCTTTGCGCTAATTATGGGAATAACTTCTGTTAAATAGTCAGCGAAGGATTCGCTTTATGAACGCAATAATAAGGATTTTCGAAAACTGGGTACAATATGACATTCTTCAACCAAGACATTTAAAGGACATTTAAAAGTGTAAAAGCCTTGCCTTAGATATTCTTGTTGTAGCATGTCACTCCTGACATCTGAAAATGTTCTCCTGACATCTGAAAATAGAACATGAATGACATTGTACAGCTCATTCAGTCGAACTGACTGATACGATTATTTGTTGCGCAACCTTTTTATTTGAAATTTTCTGTTTCAGTATTTTTTAGTGGAACTTCCCCAAACCAGAAGTGCCTCTCATAATCTAAACGTTAATAGGCTTGTTAGGAAAAAGGTTGATAAATTATACAGAATTGCATGCAACTAATCCTAATCCTAACCATAACCCAATAGTAAGTACTTGTAGTTAATTAAAGGGTCACTCCACCCATTTGCATTAAGAGGTCCATTGTTAGACAACCAGTCATACTATTGAATGGTCGTGCAACATTCTTTCATTTTCCCCTGAGACGAGAGAAATCTACTATTTACCTTTTTCACTTCCTCCTACAATGACGCAAAAATCGTCATTTGACGTCATTGTAGGAGGAAGTGTAAAAAGGGGGGATTTCTGTATAGACTACAAGCACAAATTCCCACCCTTTCAAACCCGCCCATAGGGGGTTAGACCTAATGCGCTAACAGAGCTATCACAGATCAGTGGGTGGGACTTCACTTGCAGATACTGAAAGCAATATCAGCCATCTTGTTTATAAGCTAAGCTAACAAGCGCTGTGGATATAGGAAGTTACGACAATGACGGAAGAAACTAAACATGATATGGAAGAAGAGGATTTTGAAATTCTGCTGCTCGAATCCGCTGTTCGTGGCTATCTTTACGAGCCCCAATATAGTGAAGAGCAGCTGAGGCTGATGGTGGAACAGGAGGCGGCTGCCTGTCGCGGACGAGGAGCCCGGGCTGGCTTGAGCTGGGCGGACTGCTGGTGCGTGTGCTCTCGCTGTGCGCTACGGACACAGATAGAGTCCGTCTGCTGCAGAGAATTTCAACAAGGCAGTTTCTCCTGGACGAAATCTCTGAATCAGACGACCACACGGACGTTTGTGTTGTGATGTGAACCATCCTAGTTTCGCCTGACTGAACATGCAGGTATCATGCAATAATTCACCATATAGAAAGAAATACAAACGAGTAATTCACTAATGAGTTTGCCAATGTAACGGGGTTCGTTGTTGTGGGAAGAAGGAGGCTGGAACCGGCGAACATTTAAACGTTTTAATAGTAAAATAAACAAATACAAAACAAAAGTATAAGCCAGCTGGCCACACACAACAGAAACAAAACATAAAATCAGGCCTGTTCCTTTTGTGCTTCCGCTCCTCCGTGAGAGATATGAGACCGCTGCGTCTCACAGGTGCCATTCATTATCACTCGCGTCGTCCTCTCACGTCCCTCGCCCTCGTCCTGCTCGCCACAACTAACTAGACATTTTTTGTGAAATGAATTTTAAACTCATTTGGCAGCTAGCCTTCTTGTAGACGGAAGAGCGATTTCTCTGATGTTTGCGCTGTTCTGGATTAGTGGGAGTGGCTTGCGGAGCTGTGCAACATGGTGCATTGTGGGAGTTGTTGTCTTACATACAAATGCGCCCCAAAGTTATTTTCTGTCTTTTCTCGGTCAAGAGGGCACCAAATTTAAAATTTCTTTTACATTTCGACTACATATATAACCCACTTTCAATAAAGATTAATGTTGAAATGGGTGGAGTGACCCTTTAATATTACTCAGTACATACTGTAAATAACGAAAAGTAAAAATTTCAGCTTTGCCATCACAGGAATAAATTACATTTCAAAATATATTCAAATAGAAAATGGTTATTTAAAACTAAAAATATTTCTCAATATTACAGTTTTTACTGTATTTCCGATCAAATCAATGCAGCCTTGGTAAGCATAAGAGAAGTCTTTCTAAAACATAAAAAAAGAATGACCCCAAACTTTTGAACGGTAGTGTAAGTTGCTATGGACAACATCGGTTCTTAAGCACATGAACTCAAATCCTTGTGGTAGCTTGTAGCTATTTTTTTTTTAAATTGTTTTATTGTACACAGTGGTCTTAAATATATTTTAGTACAACGTTTAAGGTATAATATTTTTTAATTGACTTTGAACACTTCGTGAAAGTCAGTCATTTTAACCACAGATCTCCTTTTAATCAGAAATCAAAAACTGCTATTCTTAAAACCTTTGATATATTCCAGAGGGAATTCATGGCTTGAAATTGCCAATTCTCTTCTGGCTTTCAGGACTACACTGAACGGCTCTATTATTTGAATTACAACAAGGTCTCTCAAAACTATTTCCTCCTCCTAATCACATGGATTTTATTTCCGGACGAGTGCGACGTCTGTCCGTATTAATGTGCAAATCTGAATATGAAAGACGTGCTTTTCCTTCCAGAATGCCCAGAGATCTCCTGGCTTTAACTCTTCCTGTCATGTATTATTGATGCTCCTTATTGCCAGTTTTTAAAGAGGTGATGTAATGATTTGAGTCAGCAATGGTCCAGGCCAGGCCACCATACTTCCACAGCCTCTTGCTTAATTAATGCCATTAAGTTAATCGATCAGACCGTTTAGGAGACAGTCAGGGCTAAATCCCCTGGTACCTTATGGAGGCTGCAGGATGGACCGTGATTGTGTGTATACCAGGCTAATTGACTCTTGTGGAACAAATTCTTAGCCAGTGCTCAACTAAAAGGTTTTTTCTTTTCAGCTACCCCAGTTGACATAAAAACATGTACATGATCAACGAGTTTAAGATGAAGCGAGACCCGTAACTCGAACACTGACTGACCCCAAGCCAGCAGGCTGTCGTTATTATCGACCCATGTTAGCATATGGATTGTTTTCTCTCAAACATAAATGTTTCTTTTTTTCCCCTTTGTTCTTTTTCTCTCTTTCTTTCCTGCTTGGCAGAGTTTAAGCCGGGACAAAACCTTCCAGTCGGACAGCGACGGCAATCAGGTGTTCAAAGGACACGGGTGAGGTTTTTTTGCTCTTTGGTGTGACCCATGTGTCTGTCCTCCATCATTACTTCAGAATTTTTTTTTTTTTTCGCTGGAGCACAAAGTTCAATCAATGAAAGGAAGAAAGGTGAAAGTTTCTGGCTTCTACTCATTTTGGATTAAATTTCTTCTTTCTGTCCTTTGTGCTGAAGCTCTGCCTGTAAGACGGTGCCGGCAGGAGGTGTAATCACAGCCTCCATTTACTGTGTGTTTTTGAGGTTACACACAGCGAGAATTGCAGAATTGGCATCTGCTGGTGGCAGAAAGGGTGTCATTTGGCTTTGTACTTTGTTACTTTAACAAACACATGTTCATTTATTTGAGAAAAAAACATTTTATTGTGGCTTTGACTTAGTCTATATACTCTATACCAGTGGTTCTCAACCTTTTTTACTCCAAGGCCCCCCTCCTCTCCGAATCAATATTGTTATTCACGAAAACATTTGTATTCTAGTGTTATTACTTTTCAACTCCATGTTATTATTTTTTAAACAAAATAAATAAATAAAAATACAATCATACTTTGCAAAAATGTCACTGCAGTCATTCTTTACAACTTACAAGTACTTACTATGCTCAGTTATACAGTAACTTAAAGGCACACTATGTAAGATTTGTGGATCAAAATATCCCAAAAACACTAGAACAATGTTATTTATTTTGTTGATTTGTGTACTTGCATTATCCCAAATGTTTCTAAGAATGTTTAAATCCAGAGAAATACGCAGTTTTAACCATGACAAGGACCGTGTCAGTGCGTCGCCTATCAATGACATCATACCAGCATTAACCTCGATGTCCGGTTTTATTTTGTAGAAACCATGGAAACACCAAAAACGCTTTAATATATTATGTGTTTTATTACACAGGTGAGCAACTGTTTGGATGCATTCATCGACAGAAAACTAATAATTTTTATACAGCTCAACACAGTTAGTCTTTTTGTTTAAATGTCGTATTCTTGATTTACCGCGCGTACCATATTTACCATGACTAATGTCGATCTAGCTCACTGGAGTGTGCAACAAGTGTCTCATATAGTAGCCGCCAAGCGGCTAACGCACAGAGTAGCATTATGACAATTTTCAACACACTCAAATGTATCTAGTATGATAAAACAGCGCTACGTTACCCCACAGCTATCTGAGGCATAATAAAAGCTCCACTGCTCTCGAGCCGCGTGTCGAACTCGTCTTTCATTAGCAATCGCTCCAACGGCCTCGTACCGCTCCAATGGCTTTTGTAACGTTAATAAATCTTTAATACATTACCGGTCATCCATGAATATGAATATGAATATTCTGCCCGACTCCCGTCATATTCTCCACCAGCTGTAGAGATGAAGACAACTCGCATGATTCCGCGAATCAGTTGTCTTTATCCAACTGATGAGAAGCAGCTTGGGCTGCTCCAAAACAATCACAGAATACGTATGGGAGAGGTGGTGCTCTCATTTATTATTTGTTTAATGTATTAATAATACATTTAATTAACTATATTAATATATTTAAATTAATTGTAAGTTATCTCGCAGCCCCCCGGATGATCCCTAAGGCCCCCCGGTTGAAAACCACTGCTCTATACTATATTATTATTTTTCATATTTTGGTGGGGGTTTCTTTTATAAGATAATTACAAAACTTTTGACCAATAGTGTATATATCTTACCGCATGATCCGAAATCATTCTAATATGCTGATTTTGTGTTTAAGAAACATTTCTTATTATTATCAATGTTGAAAAAAAAAAGATTCTGCTTAATATTTCTGTGGAAACCATGATAACACTACCATTCAAAAGTTTGTTTGTATTTGAAACAAATTTTATTAATAAGAAATGTATGTTACAAACGCGATTTCTATTTCAAATAAGTGCTTTTCTTTTGAACTTTCTATTCAGCAAAGAATCCTGAAAATAAATTCATCATGTTTTCCACAAACATTTTAAGCAGCACAACTGATTTCAACATTATTAATAATAAGAACTATTAATAGTTGAGCACAAGTATTATTTGATGATAATTGAGCACCAAATCAGCATATAAAAATTATTTCTGAAGGATCGTGTGACGCTAAAGACTGGAGAAATGATGCTGAAAATGTAGCTTTGCCATCAGAGGAATAATCTTTTTCTTCCACAATATTACTGTTTTTAATGTATTTCGGATCCAATAAATGCAGCCTCGGTGAACATAAGAGATAACATATTGAATGGTTATATATTTATATGTATATTTTTTTGTGTGTTGGATTGGAACCTGCTTCTACTATATGAGCACCATGTCATGCATTTATGTTAACCACCACACTATGATTGCATTTTTTTTTAAACACAATATATTATGTAGAGCAGGTAAAACCAAATCTGCACTTAGAATTTTTCACTTTAACAGTCTTTCTCCTCCTGGACAGAAATCTGGTGACATGTCTGTCTGTGTCAATGGACGGCACACTCCTGCTGTCCGGCTCCAATGACGAGACTGTCAGGATGTGGGACGTTCAGAGCAAGCAGTGCATATGGTCCATCAACCACAAGGGTAAGCAACAAGCACTCTCTCTCTCTCTTTCTCTCAGCTTGATTTCCTTGTGTACAGACAATATCTGCTCCTATGTACAATCACCTCTCAACCATCCCAGCATCCTTCAGTGCTCAGCCAGGCTTGCTGACACTTCTTTCCTCCCTGGCAGCTTGACCAGTCTTCTTCTAGCCCGCTCCAAGCTGACGTGCCATTAGACATCTGCGTCTTCTTCAGTCTAGGTGTCTGATCACTGGCAGTAGCGCAGGAATGATGAGATTCTGCAGTGATAGTGACACAGCGTGCACTGTTGTGGTTCTGATCCGTAAATACGTTCTGTCAGCACCGCTCGGGTTTGACAGTAGTTCACCCTCCACAGAACACAAAACAACCGCATGGGTTTCCTGGGTTAGATTTTTCTCTCTCTTCTTCCTCAGTTATGGAAACAGTGCAACAAATGGAATATGGAAGAATTCTAGGACACTTGTGTAACCAATTTAGGCGATTTTTAAAATTTAACTTGAATTCACAATGTGATCCTGCTAACTTTCTTTACTCATGTTCACAATTCACCAGTGCACATTATTTTTTTTCCAAATGAAAAACAAACTTCTTTCCCTAAGATGATGTTTCTTATCAGCTGATATTTGGCTAATGCCCAGTAGACCAGTGTTTCCCAACCCTGTTCCTGGAGACGCTACATTTTCGATCTCTTCCTAATCAATCACACCTGATTCATCAGCCTGTTAGCAGAGATTCCAAGACCAGGCATAGATGGGTCAGATAAGGGAGACATCCAAAATGTGCACTGTTGGTAAGCCTCCAGGAAATAGGCATTTTTTAATAGGTCAGTGACATATAAAAGTATACAAGATTAATGAAAAGACATTTTTTCATTTCTCTTTGGTTTCATTATGATATCAGGACAGTTGTATCACCCTGACTTTGAATTTATGCTCCCAAAACGTCAGTTATTTTTTAATTCAGAACAAGATATTCACCATTGAACAGGTGTAGTAATTGTATGTGTGAATTTCCTTATTAAAGCAACACTAAGTAAGAATTGTTACCTTAAAATAATGTTTTCAAAATCGTTTCAGTGGTTCATCAAGTAGTGACATGGTGAAATGCACTTATGCCACCGCTTTGCGGTCTTTTATCTGATATATCCACGCTATTTAAGATTGCCAGATCGGGTCGCGTTTCTGTAGTGCGAATGAGACCTAAGAAAACTACAAATTTGACTTGCTTTACGGCAAGCGTTACAATTGCCGATAGACTACAACTACACTTTCATAAAATCATGCATCATACTCTACCTTGTCTGTGGCCATTGTTGATTCCAAAGCCGGTGCTGGATAAACAGAGAGCATGTGCGTGCGCGACCTGCGCGTGCGACAGTAGGCTGCGGTAGGCTAAAGTATGGACAATTCCGCTTCCAACCTGTAGGGCGACCGCAGAGGAAAAGTCACTTGGTGTTGCTTTAATATATATTTTTAAATTAACAAATATGTACAAAAATATTTATCATGTCATTTAACCTTATGCTCATGTTATATTCAATGTTTTGAATTGAATATAACACAAAAACTTGGGCACTGGCAAAACAAACAGAAGTCCCGCTCTACAGTTGTTGTTGTTTTGCTTAATACCCAGGTCACTAAGAAATATCATTTTACGAAAAGTAAAATGTTGCAAAAGCTATTTCATGTTGACTAAATTCTTTTATTTTCCTTTGAATTTCATTTTTGACTTAAATAACTGAATAATTGTGTGAATCTGTATTCCTGATACTCTATCAATAACAAGCCTCCAGTACTCCAAATATCCTTCAGCCTTTGAATGAGTCAGTGTGAAGACCTTGGCAGTTCTGATGGACTACTGCATTCTCTCTCATTTTTCTCCCGTGAGGTAAAAAATCCCTAATTAGCTCGCTTCACTCTTTCAACATACAGATGAGCTTTGGTCGTCCTGGGTTACGTGCTGGAGGATGAAAGAATTTTTCCATTAATTTCATTCCGGGAGACTCCGGAGAAACTAACATTGCCAGATTACATTGCATGGCCACCAGTCCTCAACACCAGTTATTCACGGTAGTAATGCACAGATCATGTTTTTTCATGCACTATTCCGATACCGGTGTTAAGCCAATGTATTTGTTGTTTATTTGCTCTATAACAGGCAAACTGGCCTTAAACCAAAAAAAAAAAAAAATCTGTATTCTGTAGCCATTTGAAATTAGAGAAAATCACTGCATTTTAATCATGATCGAAACAAATATGCTACTCACATGTAGCATGAGCAAAAACAGAATCATCAGACTTTAGATTTGTGAAATTATCCTATGTAAGCATACACTTGCACAAAACAAAAACAGCAGGCGGGCTGAATGAATATGCAAATTCACTCTCTGACAGTAGGTGGCGCTTATGGAACAGCAGCGGTTTCTTTGGGTACCGCTGTACAAAAAGCAGCGCTACGCTTATAAACACTACTTTATACAGAGGTAATATGAAAAGAAAATGCCATTGAAACTTTTCTGAAGACCGTCAGTTCCTATCAGAGATGCAGTCATATAAACCTCCACCCCAAATCAATATTTCTGTTTTTCGTCCTGTATTTCGAGCATTGCGAACAGTGAGCTTGCTGTGCCTGGTAAAGTATTTTCTCTGTTGGCATCCGTGTTTTCTTCTTTGCGTCGATCTTCAGCGTGTCCAGTCTCTGGCCTGTGTTAATGTCCTGTTTACAGACGTAATATTTCCACACAAATGGCATGTGTGTGCAAGTCCAGAATAGAGATCGGCCAAAATAAAACTAAAAACCAGGAGTTTCTGATTTATGGTGGGTGCATCTCTAATTTCCACTGTTGATATCGAGCTGTTTTGGAACACAATTGTTTCATGCTCTGTGCTTTTCTTTACTTGATAACTTATTTTGGTTGAAGGAAAAAATCTATCGCTGGAAAACTCTAAGGTAATTTGTCAAATGTAGAGGTGAAGGGCAAGCGGTATTGCAGTGAGAAAAATCAAGCTGATGAATTAGTTTTCATTCTAGCCATTGTTGCCCTGGTGGTCAATGAGGGCTAAAGGACCACAGATGTCAGATCCCTTTGAGCAAGCTAGAGCATTTTAAAGGCCATTAAGTTCTCTTGAAATGAACAAATTAGCACCAAATTATTGTGATAACCCTTAGCCTCTAGTTCATTATCTGTCCTCTCAACTTAGAGAGAGAGAGAGAGAGAGAGAGAGAGAGAGAGAGAGAGAGAGAGAGAGAGAGAGAGAGAGAGAGAGAGAGAGAGAGAGAGAGAGAGAGAGAGAGAGAGAGAGAGAGAGAGAGAGAGAATTGCGCTGTGGGGTTACTGCAGATTTTGTGCATGTATTCTCAGATTGATGCAAATTAACCCGTTGACTTTGAGGGCCTTTGATCAAATACCTGCTGTAATTAAACATCTCTGAGAGGTTTAAAGGTTTTAGTTAATAACCAATGTGCTATGTGTCAGACTGACTCTCAGATTCTAAGACTTTTGTGTGGTTAAAAAAAGCTTTTCACTGAGAAATAGACAATCTTCAAGGGTTTTGTGCATTTTGTTATTAATCTACCCAAATCCTTACTTGGGGTGGTTCATGATGGTCGACTAATAGAGGAGTTGTCCAATCTAGTAGTTCTAGTAGTTCTGTTGTTGAACAGTGTCTTGTATAAGCATGTCCCATTGGAATCCAGCAACAGTTGTAAATGGTGCATTCGGCCTTACCAGATAGCACCATTTATCAGTTAACCTATACATATTTTTAGTCCATTTGTACTGTGTATAAATTTGAAACACTTAATTGGTGAAATTGGCACCACATATCAGTAAACAAAAGGCAAAATATCTGCTATTGTGCATTAATTTGAAGCACTGTTTTTGGTGGCACCAAGTATTTAAGAAACGATAACCAGTTATGCCGAAAAGTTGTAATATCACAAAAAAAAGTCGATTATCATTATCTCTTTACTAATGTGTATGAATTTGAAACATTGTTTTAGCACCATTTATGGGTAAACCCAATATTTAAGAACCAACCTAAAATTTAAGAGTAAATACTGAAAACAGATAAAAAAAAAAAACGTTTATATCGGTAACAAAGTCGACAAATCGATATCGTCTACCTCTACTGTGTACTAATGTGATGCACACTTTAAATGGTATAATTAATGGGCAAACTTAATATTTAAGAACCTTAAACTTAATATTTAAGAACCTTAAGAACAATTACGAGGAATAATGGTATTATAGATTTAAAAGATGCCACCATTCAGCAGTGTTAATATCTGTAAAAAAAATGTAGGTCAAACCAGTTACATTTTAGTCTTACACGTCATGACTCTTTATTTGAGTTTGTGACCGAAATCCACTCTCCTGGGTCTGTTAGCGTCCAGGACAGGGTCCAAGCATGTCGACTGAACTTCACAAGGAGACGAGTCTCGAAATGGGTGTTGTGTACTCGCAGTAGCTGGACGAGGGGGCAATGAATTTTTCCTCAAGGCTCTTCATCATGGAGGCAATTAAACCCAGTTTCACGCCTCATCCCTAGACGCAGATGATACCCCACTCCTCCTTTTATCTGTCTTCATTAAAGCCAGCAGGCGGCCTGTCAAACGACAGAGCGAAAAGAGAGCGACCCAAACAAACGCCTTAGCCAAAACTGCTAGAACTGAACTGTCATTTTCAGACATTTCATGTGCAGAAGGCTGAAGGGCATAATTGTACAGTTTACTTTATCAAAAATGGACAACAATTTTTTTGTTTTTTTTTGTAACATACAGGAATGTTTTATTTTTGTGGGATGTTATAGTGGTTAAGAAGACGCAGGAGGTAATTAAAAAGGGCTGCTGGTTCGATACCTGCGAGGAGCGAGCCATGAGGCTCACTGTTGTGCCATTGAGCAAGGCACTTATCTGAGGTTGCTTCATGGGGCTTTTCCCTGTAATAAGTTATTGGAAACGTTCTATTGTGAAAATTGCTTCAACAGAATGAGACA